TTCCGAAGGGTCTTATCTTGCTGTGTGACTGAGAGCAACTGCAGCAACACTTTGGAGACAATTATCTGCAAATTAGTGTGTGTCCACATCAAACACAGACGATAAGATCACACACACACACACACACACACACACACACACACACACACAGTCAACCAATGCTGAAGGACTCACCCGTGGACTGACAGCTAATAGCATGTCCTGTTAGTTTTTTCTCTATGACTAAAACACACTTTGAGAAACTTTCTTCCAAAACAGTAATTTAATCTGCGTTCCTAAACTTGCTAATTGATATTATTATCTGCTTAGTCACAAGGCCACATGCTTGGGACCTATGTGAGATGTTTCTGTTTTCCTTCTCTGTCTCCTACCCTCAACCTACTCCCGTCACCTGGCCTGTTATCTACCAACCCCTAACTTTTATTTGAATTTCCAAATGTGTGCTTGCTTCTAAAGTCCTTTGATCGGTTGGTTTAAATCCTCACTGTTTTAGTCTTGTTTGTTATAGGTTTGGGAGCTGGGTTTAATCTTCTTCCATACCACCACCGTCATTCAGCATGCAAATGTCATTATCAGTTGCCCTCGTTGTACTTCCTGCTTCCAGATCACTTCAGATTTCAGCGAAGCTCTTTCAGCACCGCCAGCCTTAAGAGCCTCTTCCTGCTGGCCCCTGCCACTGTGCACTCTGCTTACCCTTCTACAGAGCAGCCTGCAGTGTCCTGCAGGGAGCGCACCCTTTCCTGCCTCTGTCAAAAGCCTTTCACCTCCATCGTTCCTCCCCACTCCATTCCTCATTCTAATGACAACACTGCCTCCAGGATAAGCATCTCGGCTGATGGGCAAGAGTTCTGGTATCCATCCAACAGCTAACAAACTGTTCTTCCCCTGAAACACTCATTGAACAAATGAATGATTGCATTCATTTAGTACCTACCGCCTGCCGGGCTCGGGGAACATAGTAGTGGAGGGGTTGCCTGGCAAGTGATCAAAAAAGGTTACTGTTGTTACCACTGGTGATGGACAGCCGCCCAGAGAACCCAGACCCTCCTTCCCAGTCCCACTGTGAGTTTGGTGCTGATCTTAGCCCTTGTAAGGTAACTGCATTGTACCTGCTCATCACCCTCAGCCCCGGAAGTGTCTTGAGGTCAGAGCCTGAGTATTTTGCCAGTTTCAGGGTCAGGGGCTTTCAGGGCAGTCTGTAATCTAACCCCACAGCAACACAATGAAGCCAGTATCATTACACTGCTTTATAGATCGGGGAACAAGATCGTAAAGATATGAAACAGGTTGTCAAAATGACATAGCAGTGTATGTGTGTAAACCAAGCCCAGCCCCCACAGCTGCCTGAGCCAGAGTTCCAACTTTAATACCTGCTTGGTGAGATGAGTGCCCCCCCCCAACCGTGGGCACCTGGAGCCATGGGATTGTAGTCTGCACACAGTTTTTGGTAATCCTCTGGGTACACAACAAAACTGTAATCCACACTTAGGTATACATAGACACTTCCTTTCATCCTTGTGACCTCCCTTAGCCTATTGGGGACTAGGGAACCAGAAAGTTTGAAGCTTGCCAGCTCCCTGTATTACAATATCTTCCAGATTAGGGACCTTTGAGCTCCATCTCTTGGGTAAATAGCCAATTTCTAAGTGCCTACCCCCCTTCCCCGAGGTCTGGGGACTGAATGGATGTGAAGGTCTTGTAGAAAGCCAGAAGGTGGGTGGGGTGGGACTGCTGGTCCCATACTACTCCTTGGGTTTGCAAAATGTCTAGTCCGGCTGAGGTGGTCTGGTCTGGTGCCATCCACAGGCATTCTGTTAGCGTGTGCATTGGTGTGAAGGTGTCAGATTCCCTGGAACTCAAGTTAGGGACAGACAGTTGTGAACTAACTTGAGGGTGCTGGGAATTGAACTCGGGTCCTCTGGAAGAACAGTCAGTGCTCTTAACTGCTGAGCCATCTCTCCAGCCCCCATGGTGAACTTCTTTAGCAGCACCTACACCCTTGGCTCTGACACTGTGTCCCTGCTCTCACAGCTCTCTCTCCTATTGGAGTTCCTGTGAACTTTTAGCGTCCCTCAGTGTCTGCTGTGATCACACCCTGCCGTCACCACTATCACAACCTGAGCTTCCTGAGTGTGGTGACACTGTGACAGGCCACACCTTGTTAGGAAAGGGGTCCTCACTGTGTTACACCCATAGCTTGTAAGCATTCTGGAGTGCAGGGCTGGACCTTGTCAAGCAAGGAGGCCTTCACTGGGACAGGCTGCACCTCGCTTAGGAATAAATAGGATTAATGAGACGTTCCTTTAACGATAGCCATTTCCTAGATTTCTCAGTATGAAATGAGACCAAAGGAAGTCCCCTAGATTTTGGCTGTACCTTCAGCCTATTTGATGTCTCTTCTAGGAGACAGACTGGGAAACTAGTTGCCTTTTGATTGATTGGTTGATTGAGTGATTGATTGATTTAACCTTTATCCCTGCATTCATTTGATTGGGCCCTGAAAGGATGGGTTTTTCTCTGCCTCGTTCCATCTTTTCTGTATTTTCCGATATTGAATCATCCTCTCCCAAAAGTGGAATTTGCCTTCCTCTTTCCCCCAAGGCTAGATTGGAGACTAGCTGCCAGGTAACCTGATTTATGTGAGAGGAACGAAAGGCATCTGTTTAATGTTTTCGAATTATTACCCCTGTTACCCCTGCATCTTAGAGGGTAATGACCGCTCTCAGGAACTCTCCGGGTCCCTTTATAGTAGCATGGCTCAGAGCGGTCATAGAGGAAGATTTACAAGAGCTTGAGAGTCCCTATCCCTCCCTTTCCAGCCTACCAACTACATTTTTGGCCATTGCTCCCTCCTTCCTGAACAACCGGACCAGGGTGGATAGGCAGGGACGGTGACTCTGCAAAGCAAACGGTTGGTAGAAATGAGTTTAAAGCAGTGGACTGGACATTCAAATTTTGACCAAATTAATCCTCACCATAGTACTAATTGTATCTAACAAATTTAAATATGAGATCATGCCAAAGTGAGCTCCATGAAAGAGCCCCCATTGAGAGGGCACAGTGGGAAAACAGTGCATTTGATCCGCGGGCTGCGGTATCTTTAAAGTTCAGGCTACAGGAAAGGGAAAGCTTCTGAGAGAGGAGAGAAGTCAGTGGAGAAATTAGCAAGTGGGTCAAGTAAGAGAAACAGCAAGAGGAAGTGTGCGTCGAATTGCCTCATAACGGCCACAGTCCCAGCTCCCTTTAGCTCCCTTTAGCTGCCTGTTGGATGTGAACGAGACCTGGTGTGCCTCTTGTACTTAAACATGTCTTCGTGCTCCTTAGTAAGTCTTATGTCAGAATCGGATCCTGCTTGGATGAGGAAAAACAACTATCATAAGATGGATTCAGAGGAAGGAACCAGCTTTTGTCCTGTGGAACTAACTGAACAAGCAGAGAAATAAAATTATTAAAATCACTGGCCAAAAGTCGAGTATAAAATAGAAAGGAAATGGGGAGGGGCTTGCTTGAGATTATCATTACCATCTGTGCTGTGGAACATTTGATTCCAATCCCAGAAGGTTGACACAGAAATAACTTATAACTGGGGACACATGCTGCGGAATTTTCAGGAATGACAGAGTTTTTGTTATTAATATCTGTATCACACTATGGGGACGATGATAGGCCACATAGTGGCCAATGGTGGAGGAAGCCGTAACTGGGAACTTTGCGCTTTATCCTCACTCATGTGGGGCCTTTTACACCCCCAAATTTTCTTCTTCATCCACTCTACGGATGTCCAGAGAGAGCTTCTAATGAGTAGAGAATCCAGACCTTCTTCACTCCAAGTGACAGGGCTGGTCCTCGGTGGGTGGGAGCTGTTTATTATCGAAATCTCAGGCTTTGCAAGGCACTTGCAATTCTGTACACATTCATCTCTTCAGAATATTTTGGACACGTACTGAAATACTTCTTACCTAGGTTTATAACATCACAGGTCACTAGTGAGTGGTCACACTGGTAAAAAAAAAAAAATGTGTCATTTGCTAGTCTGCTTCATCACTTCCGGTGTGATCTTTTTCTAGCTTGCTCATTTTTAAATTGGGGATAATGGTTCCTGACTTACAGCAAATTATTTGCAGATAACATTTGCACTGCTAAAACAGCCTGAGCGTTGAGCTTCCAAATGTTAAATGAGATGGTCACTTGTTTGAGCCATACATTAATAAAGGACAGAGAATTGGTGATAGGAATCTAAGGGCAGGGTAAAGAATTAGGCGACAGCTGAGCCTTGGGGCATATATAATCCTAGAATTTGGTAATTTGAATAAGGTGATCATAAGTTCAAGAACAGCCTAGTCCTAACACGAGCCTGCTTTTATAAAGGAAAAAAGGTTTACACTAATGGTGATATTATAAACTGGTAATTACATAAATAATTTTTTTTAAAAAATCACTCTTGGGAAATTATTTTGCACAGAGTCATTTAATTTGTAACGGTCGTCCTCACGGTATGGTCTCAGAAGATGTAGTTTCCATACAGGTTTTATTTTTCTGCTTCTTTTAAGCAGGAGGTGGCTGCTTTGGAGAATAGAGGACAAGGGAAAGCTTAACCCTTTTAGTCCCCCACCTTCCCTAGAAGCTAGCCTCCAGGTCTTTGTGGATTTGTCCTGCAACCTGACCACATTTCCTGTCCTGGGCCTTGGAGCTACCCCAGGCCTGGGCATGAATCCTTTTGTGTGTACAGCTGCAGGGGCAGCTTGGTCTGAGAGGAAGCAGCTAAAGGAAGAGCCGGTTCTCTCTCGGGCTCAGGGCGGGTCCATGCCAGATGCCGGCCAGCCCCTTGCTCTATAGCCTGCAGCCCCGGGCGCTCACTCTGAGCCGCTCTGCGTGAACCTAGGCAAGTCTACGAGTTAGCGGGTTGCTATGGCGACACTGGGCACGTGATCAGTCGCTGCCGCTGCTGCAGGCGCCCTGACGTGAGAGGGCGTGGCCTTCGAGGGCGTGGCCTTGGGAGGGCGGGGCCGGGCGCCGAGCAGGAGCAGAGCGCGGCTGCAGAGTGAGCAGCAAGCAGCGGGGAGACACAGCCCTTCGCCCCAGCCAGCCTCCGCGTGTGTTCCCTCTGTCGGGAGAGCGCCAATGCCTGGGCCGACCCAAACCTTGTCCCCAAATGGCGAGAACAACAACGACATCATCCAGGATAACGGGACCATCATTCCTTTCCGGAAGCACACAGTGCGCGGGGAGCGGTCCTACAGGTACTGGCACGGGTGGCTGCGGACGGTCCGTCCCGTTACGTAACGCGGAGGCCGGGATTGCTTGATTGTAGGGTCCTGTGTCGGTGGGGTGAGCATGGAGGTTTCCGTGGGTGAATAGGTTTGTTGCCTGCAAGAGGTCTCCCTCCATCTCTTCCCTGCATGCCATCTTCCCGCATCCCCGAAGGGACACAGGCTCTGCACTTCCTCTCCTTCTTCCCTTTTAGCATTTAAAGGAACCATTAGGTGGCGGGCACTAAAGGAGCAAACAAACGGGAGAATGGCGAGAAAGGGAGGATGGTGAGGAACGCGCTTGCGCTTAACCTGGGAAGCATGCAGGAAAAGATGGAATCCTCTAGATGAAGCTGCAGTGTGTGATGTTAAACCGCCAGATTGATGGAGCTTTGTAAGAATTCTGCACGCTGATTGGTGCAAGGATTGACAGCAGAGGTCACAGTGTCAGACATTCACCAAAATCTCTCCACGGAAGCCCAGGCTGATTAGAAAGAGCCTAGACTGTTTCAGACCTGGGGGTTTAAAAAAAAAAAAAAGGAAAAACAAAAACAAAAAAACCCACAACGACAAAAAGAAAGCCCACCAAAACCCAGCACTGCTACGCATTTTCTGAAGAGTTTTATGGCCTCTGCATGGGTGGAGGAGCCCTTCCTTCTTATTTACACTAGAAAGGTGATTCCTTATTTTTTTGCTGAGGTCTGATTTGAGGATGGGAGTGCTATCGGTCATTGTATTGTGAGCCTTTTGATTAATGAGTTGCCTGTGTGGTTGGCATCATTTTTGCATTAACATATCTGGCAATATGTTCCCATAGATAAGCTCATTAAAATTGTTTGCATTGTTTAATAAGGATAACAATGTGATGCAGAATGTAGCTTGATCTTAGGCAGCTCAAGGCCAGACGTACAGGGAGACGGATAGCTCAGATTGTATTTCCTCTGAAGTTCTTTTGTACTGAGGTGGTTATTTTTAAATGTAACCTTCAAAACCACCAGCGATGCTTTTGCTTTAAAGTAGAGCACACGTACCTGCAGGATGCAGCCTCTGAGCCAGTGAGCAACAGGAAATAACTACTTTAAAAAGTAAGCCTGCCATCTGAATTCTCAAATAATATTATGGGCAGAATATTCTGTGTTCAGATTCTATGTGCACATCATAAAGGAGACTCCCAAACTCCCCACTTTTCTTTCCTTATTGAGTAGAGATACCATTTGTTGTCTCAAAAGGAGGGAGGTGAAAGCAGCCCTTTGGTCTATTACATCTCTGGCAGTTACATAAATACTTGAAGTTAATGTTGGCTGCCCCCCACCTCAAATCACCAAGTCTCACATCTTATGGTTCCAATGAATAGAATTGGCACGGCATCCTCACGGATGTCAACTGATTGTTACTCTCATAATGTCAGCCACAGTTGGTCCTCTTCTGGAACTTCTGGAACTTGCCTTTTGGGAATCCTGCAGTTGGAAGGTCCCTCTCTTTTTCACCTTTCTCTTCTGGGTGAAGCTAAAAAGAGAATTTTAAAAAATGAACAAAATCAAGTTGCTTTGAAAGCTCACTTATTTGAGCTATTCTTGTAGGCAATACATTTGAAGCCCTCATTTCCTGAGCATCCCAATCCCTGCTATGTCAGTAGCTGCTGCTCCTGGGATGGAGCACACATTTTACCACGTGGGCCGGAGGAAGTTGCCTAGTTGGGCTTTATTACTCATGTGAACCAACTCAACATGGTAATGGAAAACCGTTTGCCAAAAAGGTCAAATGGCCCCTTCTTGTAGGGGAAAAAAAGATAGTGCTTTATAATGTTGTGTTTTTAATTCAAGTTATTCCTTCTAATTATTAAATGATTTCCGCTTTGCTTTTTGATGTTTTATGGTAGCGCCTTAAATTAGATACAATTAAAAAAGAGAAAAGCCTAAATTTTTGGTGAAGATCTGATTACACTGTTGACTTCTCTGGAAACCCTGTGTTCATATTTTATAGACTAGGATTGCTGGGCGATGTAGTGAGAAATGCGTTGGCTCCGTGAAGAAAGCTGCCCACACAGCTCCATTCCTGCTGTATAGCGTACAGGACACCCTTGGAAACAGACGCCCTGGGTGTCTCCCTTGGTCTGCTTTCTTTCAAAGTGAATGAGCAATACAATATAATTACTGCATATTTCTTTGGAGAGACCTAAGAGAAGGGAAAAAAATGTGACACATTTTTCTATCCAGGAAGCATTCCGTCCTTATTTTGGCATCCTAAGACCGGAATAATATAGCTATCTGATTGCTGAGGAAACTTGGAAGGCAATTTGGAAGCCACAACAGAGATTTAACCAAGCAGAAGTTTGACCTTGGCTGTAGGCGAGGTAGCTTTCAACAGTGAGATATGCCTGGAAGTTTTCGGTGAGGTGCCTGGGAGAGCCTGAGTGTACTGAGGGCCCTGGCAACACCAGAAGCAATTCTGGTCCTGGCTGTTTTACTGATTCCTAGGTCGACTCCAGCAGCCTGTCTCTCAGGCTTTATTTCCTGACATGGCTTCTTACCATGAAGATTATGTAGTCCTAGTCTTTTTGGTTTTGTTTTTTGTTTTTATTTTATGTCTATTTTGCCTGTATATCTATGTACTACCTTCATATAGTGCCCTCCAAGGCCAGAGGAAGAAGGTGTTGTATTTCCTGGAACTGGTGGTAGAGACAGTTATGAGCCACCATGTAGGCTCAGGGAAATGAATCCAGGTCCTCTGTGAGAGCAACCAAAACTCTTAACTTCTGAGCCATCTCTGAGCCATGTCTTAAGTCCCTTTAATTCTACTCTTAAAGAGATGTAAGGCCTAAGAGCATACGTGCAGGTCTGTAAACAGGGATGCTTTGTTACCAAAGAGGAACACTTTGGGGAGCTTAGACTGGAGTACACCTCACCTTGCTGGTATTGCAGGCCGGAGACCTAGGAAGGACAATGGCATTCCTCAAGGACCACTAATGTGCAGGCGGTCGCTCTGTCTTCTTTTAGTTTCTTTTGCTGTTATTTATTTAGGGTGGGTGGGTGCACATACCACAGATGAAATTTGCTTGAGTGTGTTCTCTCCTTCACCATGTGACTTCTGGAGATCAAACTCAGGCCCCTGGGCTTGGAGGCTAGCTAGCGCCTTTACCTGCCGAGCCATTCCCTGGGCCAAGTACCAGATTGTTCACAAAAAGAATGAGATGTGATCCTGGTCCAGACATCATAAGGCAGGTATCAATGCATGTAAATAGTGCCCATTATTTACAGCCTGAAGTTGAATAGGTAACAAATCATGATCGAAAGCCCTGTGCACTTTAATTAGAAAGCAGGATTCCCTTTAAAAAAAAAAAAAATCACGTCTGTGTTACAAATTGCACTGAAAGCAGTCAGGTATCAGAATGACCCAGTAAAGCCATCCGAACACTTTTCTATACCCACTGCACAACAGAGCGCCTCCAACCCCAGCCTCCCCACTGCAGTTAGGAGCCCAGATATTTTAAGAGCTGCTTAAAAAATAAATGTGGTGAGGGCCATCCAAGGTGACAGTCTTAAATTCAAAGAGCAAATGAGTCGTGGCCTGGACCTCCCTGGAGAGGCTACTCCCTGCAACTCTGTTCTACGCAGATGCCGGTCGGAAATGAGATTTATTAACTGGCCTCCTGCCCACAGCATCTTTGTTTGCATACTCCAGGCTTTTGAGAGGGAGCATATAGAGAGGACTATCTCAGAATTGGTTTTCCAGCTTGCAACTCGTGTGTCTGAATACTTTAAGGAAAAAAATGACTTGGCCCCAGGAAGTGAACTGTAAAGAAAAGCAAAAGCGAGCTAATAAGCCTCAAATAGTCACCTAGAACATCCAGCCTGTTTTGTTTTGTTTTTAAGTGAACTCTTGTTTAGGAGCATAGAAAAATATCCTGTGTATCGAACTAGAAAATATAGGATTGTGACATTGTGTTCCAGTCGGTAGAAGCTGTTACAGGGTGTAGATTTCAGATGATACCCCTGCAAGAACACCAGTTACACACACGAGAGGTCTAGCCTCACCTGCCTCCATTTTCTATCTGTAATCTAATAGATTAGTGTCAAAGGAGCGGTTTACAAATACACTGATTTTGTGTTTAGTATTTGACTTAGGGCTCATAAAACCCAGGAGGCTACTTAATGCTGCACTAGGCACTCAACTTTGAGACTTCTTTTGGGGGGCCTTCCTCAGAGCCTCTATGAAAGGGATGTGGATGCTTCTGACTTCCGGGGGAGGCTGGCCTGCGCTGTGGTGTCCATTTGTGGTGCAGGAAGTCAACAGAGCCGCTGAATGAGCTCACCCTCTAGATTCAGGTTCGCTTTTCGGATGCAGCATCTTTTCTGTTCTTAGGGACCATGTGTAGGTGAAACAAATAATCTCTCAGATTCCAGGAGAGGCAGCTACTGAGTGATATAAACATTCCATTTGGATGGGGAAATTCTATAAATGTTTGATTGTCTTCTCTGGCTGTTGTCCGTGCTGGATGCCTCTTCAAGATCTCAAGGGCTAGCGAAGTTACAGGTTGGAACCGCTCATCCTCGGTCTCATCCAGATTTCTTTGTTGTCAGTATCTTGCTCAGTCAGCTAGGAGTAGTGAGTGGTTTGCATTTCCTGAGTGACTCAAAGTAAGAAAAAATATCCTCAATTTGCCATGAGAAAACTCAAGACTTCTACTCAGCAGCGATCAGGACAAGGGAGATGCGCCTCTCCTGGTGGAGAAGCAGTGAGCGTAGCTTACCTCATGAAGGGGCAGACCCTGGGGTCACCTTCCTAGCCAGCAGTTTGATTCAGGGGCTAATGTAGAGAGAGCCCTTGCACTGTCTCGATCCTCAGAAGCTCGAACAGACTACCTGGTCCATCAGTGTGAGGGATGCAGGGCGATAGGTGTGGCCCAGGCAGCTGCTCAGGCTGATCCCAGAGTCCCTCATCCTGACTGAGGTTCCAGAAGTGACCTGAAGATTTACCTGACTCGTCTGAGCCTGTCTTAAATTGTGCTCATTTCGCTTTCAAGGACAAATAGATTCGCAACCACTTCCTTTTTGAAGAATCATGTTTTACATGATGAATTATGTTAGAATACTTAAAACCTGGATGTGGTGGCACATGCCTGTAATCCCAGCACTCAAACTATAGAAAATAGGAGGATCAGGAGTTAAAGGCTGGCCTACCCTCTGTGAGCCCCTGTCTCAACATGGAAAAAGAAGGCGGTGGTTTCGGGCTGTCTTTTAGCTGTGTGATTATGTAATACTGATCCTGACCTGGTAATATTATATCCAGCCGTATCACATGCACTGTTTAGATGCCTGCCTCAAACAGCACTGCATGCACACCCCACTAGTGGTCTTTGAGCTTCCTGCCCTGCTTATCTTGAGTCTGATTGCTTATCTTAGTATCTTTGGCCCTTTGTATTTATTACTATTTTGAGAAAATTCTTCCCAAGTGGAAACCCCCAATTACATATGCAATGAAAGCGTACATGTTATGCAACTTTTGTTTAATGAATCAAAATTTTTGTTACTTGCATCCCCAAAGATAAACTGTTTACTTTAATGAAAACAATCAGTAAGGCTGAGCAGACTTTTATAGACCTGCGCAAAATAATTTCTCAATAAATTACCCAAAAAAGGACACGGTATTTATTTTCCATCCGATCACTCCATTTTAATTAGGATTTTGCTCACTTGAATCAAGACAGATGTCCTTAAAAAGCCTTTCCTTCCTTCTGAAGGAGGAGGGGTTGGTGGCAGCTTTTAGTGTCAGTGCCCCTCAGTGCTTAGCTAGTTAAGAAAACAGGGTTCAAATCCAGCGTTCCTCGTGTGTCTGCCCCTAGCATGACACCATCAGGTTGGTCTTGACTTTGGGATAGAAAAGAATGCAGGCGAGGGATTTAAGAAGGAAAATAATTTGTATGCATGTGTGCACATGCATAGGAACATGTAGCTGCACATATGTGCACATGGGCAAAAGTCTGCATCTTCAGTGCCAACAGTATTGTTTCTTAAGTCACCGGCATCTGTAACATTCTATGGGACAGAACTTGGGGAAATCTAAATTTTAATTGTGCACAGGGGGCCGTGTGTGGAAGTGTTCCCTGTAATCTTGGCACTAGGGATCTTGAATTCGAGACCAGCCTGGGCAACATAGCAACTTTTAAAAAAAAGAGGAAAAAATTCTGCACAGAATTGATCTTGAGGGTTCCGGTCTGTGCTTACTGTTACAGGAGCCCAGATGACAGTGCATCTCCCGAGAGCGCCTTGAGTGTCTGTAACACCTCTTATTTTGTTTTACTTCACTTGGAAGACATTAATTCCTTGTTCTTTATTTAGTGCCAGCCTGCCCGGGCAAAGCCCTGAGAGGTAATTTGTCAGAGGTGGCAGAGGCATTGACATCTCTGGGAGGCTCTCGTATGCCCACTGTTAACTCTGAGTAGGAACAGCGGCAGCCTTTTCTTAGGAGCCCTCCGTGATGACTACAGAGTTTTCACTCGGTGCCACAGGAGTCACAATCAAGTGGCTCTGCTGAAATGGGCTCCTCCGCTCCGCCCTAGCGGCTCTACCGCAATGGGCTCCTCCGCCACCGCCTTAGTGGCCCTCCTGAAATGGGCTCTGCCGCCGCTGCGTTCCTTACCACTCTCATCTGGTCATTCTAGAGTGCTCAAGCACGTTTCAGCCTGGAAAGAGGGAACTATTTTAAGTTGTCATCAAGTTTTACACAGTTGCCATTGTGTTAATATTTAAACCCAAATTTCCCCTTTAGCAAACAAACTTCCTTCTGTTGCCAGTTTGCTCATGAGGACCCTTAGAATACAAGGGTAAATAATGACAGTACCTCTCTGTAAGGGAGAGGCCAGAAGCCTAGGCTGCAACAAGGAGAGAGTCTTGGTGGAGGGGCCCAAAATGGAGAGACACCCCAGAGAAGACCCATGTGTTTGTTTTATCTTGGGTATGGCTAACATTGGCTCACCAGATTCAGCCAGACCTGGCCAGCGAGCCCCAGGGGTCTTCTTGTCTCTTTGTCCTCAGTTCTGAAAGTATAGGCACTCGCTGCTACACCCTACTTTACCCCATGAACTGTCTCTTTGCCTCTCCCTCTCCCCCATTTTGAAGCAAGGTCTTATGTAACCCAGGCTGGCCTGAAATCGCCATATATCCAAGGCTGGTCTTGAATTCCTTGTCCCTTGGTTTCCTTAGTACTGGAGTTAGAAGCATGTTCCATTCAGGACCAGCTACAAGTACTACTTTAAATGCTTCGTTCATTTGTTTGGTTGGTTTGATTTTAATTTTTCTAGACAGGGTTTCTCTGTGTAGTCTGGGCTGTCCTGGAACTCTCTCTGTAGACCAGGCTGGCCTTGAACCCAGAGATCTGCCTACCTCTGCCTCCCAAGTTCTGGAATTAAAGGCATACACCACCACTGCCCTGCTAAAATTTTATTTGTTATTATGATGCATGCGTGCATGTCCATGCACATTTGTGGAACTCAGAGGACAATTCTGTATAGTCTATCAACTCCTTCCACTTTTACACAGGTTCCAGGGATTAAACTTAGGAAGTTTAAACAGGGAAGCAGCAAGTGCTTCCCCAACCGAGCCGTCACACCAGCTGTGTAAGCACAGTTCTTACATTAGAGCCTCCCAAGTCACAGATACACAGTGCTCCTCTGTCATCGCCTTGAGGTCTCACACTCACTTTGTTCGGCTTTCTCCAGTGCACACTATGCTGGTTTGGGGGGTGTGTCCAGCCTGCTTAGTATGCTCAGTGACTCTTGGCCTAACTGCACAGTCGTCCTCCGTGAGGATTGTTTTTCAGTACCCTCTTTGCAGTTTCCTTTTCTTCCTGTTTATTGAGCACCTGCTGTTTGTCAGGTGCTGTGTGGGGTCCTGACGTTGTATGAAGACAAGGAACTGCCGGTTTTCAGTCAGTCTAACCACAGTCCTCTGACCTCTGACCCACCTAACCTCCCACTTTAGGACAATTACACACACATACACACAGAGAGAGAGAGAGAGAGAGAGAGAGAGAGAGAGAGACAGAGACAGAGAGAGACAGAGAGAGAGACACACACAGAGAGAGAGATAGAGAGAGACAGAGAGAGAGAGAGACAGAGAGAGAGACAGACAGAGAGAGAGAGACAGAGAGAGAGACACAGAGAGAGACAGAGAGAGACAGAGAGACAGAGAGACAGAGAGACAGAGAGAGAGAGAGAGACACAGAGAGAGAGACACAGAGAGAGAGACACACACAGAGAGAGAGAGAGACAAAAAGAGAGACAGAGAGAGAGAGAGAAGGAATATCAGTATCTGCCCTTAAAGTAACCTGCAGGCCCCGTGATGCTGGCCGGGCAGCCAGCCATCCACAAGGAGCATGCCTTCCTGCACAGGCAGCCTCCTCACCCAGCAGGCTGGATGAAGTCTGAGAGCACCCGAGGGACACTGCCAGTTAAGAAGGAACAAAGGACAGCTTCGCATGCAATAACTTCACCGTGCTATAGCCTTGAAGTAAACAGACTCTGGGGTGTGTAACCAGACGGACTCTGCTAGAAAAGGAGGAAGCAGAAACAGGGGTCCCAGGAGGGCCGGCTTCTCAGAGGCAGATGTGTGCAAAGTGTGGAGAAGAAGGAGGGTTTCTGGGGTGAGTGTCCGGCTCTCCTCCCCTCTGTTTTTCTTTCCCTCCAGGCAGAGTAAATTCGCTCTTCCAATAATTCTCGAGTAGCAAGTGCTATAAGCACTAAGTGAACCTAGGCTGGCTGTGGCCCCAGCAGTCGGGATTAAATGGGCCTCCTCCAGATCTCTTACTGGGGCCTGAAACTCACGATAAATCTGCAAGTACGTGGTGTTTGGGGAGTTGACTCTCTCTCCCTGGGGTTTCTGAAACGCGCACAACAGTGACTTCAGGATGTCCCCATGAACTGCACTGGCTGCTTCTGCTTCCTCTGTTCCTTTGCATTTTCTGTCCAGATCCGGCACCTCCTTCCTGCCGTGTATTGGGGTCTGTTGGGTGTTCAGAGTGCCCAGCCAGAGAGCTGCTTGGACTCTAGTGAGCAAAGCTTGGCTCTGGCATAAGACATATGTTCTCTGCCTCAGCCTCAGTCCAAACCGTATGACAGGGCAGATGCTCCCTGCCTCCTCAAGCGTCATTTCCCTACTGTACCTAGGGAGGTAACAGTGCCAACCCCACGGGGTTGTTTTGTGGACTGAATGAGCCCGGAGCATGAAGAGCTCACACTGTTGCCTGGGGCAAAAAGTCCCGTACAGAAAGCTAGCTACTAGTTAGCATCTGTGACTTTCTACCTGCCTTTATAATCTGTGATCTTTGTGTCCTAAGTACCTGGCACAATTCATGACTCTTGGCAGATGTTCTTTAAAAATCCCCTCGACTTCATTAAGAATTCATTTAGAAACAATAAACTGAATCTATTTTAAGCATGTAGCTCAGTGGGTTTGGGTAAGGTCAGTCCTGAACATTTTCATCACTGCCCCCCAAGTTCCTTGTGCCCTTTACAGCCTGTATTTCCTCTCCCCACAGCCCCGGGAACCACTGAGACACTCTCTGTCACAACGGTTTGTGTGGAATGGGATCAGATGGGATGCACGGCTCAGCATCTGGCTGTTTTGACTCAGTGTCAGGAGTTTGAGATCCAGCCACAGTGGCCGTATCCACTGCTGTACAGCTCTTTCCTCTTTACTGCCGAGTAGTATTCCATCATATGGCAAACCATCTTTTGTTTATCCACTCACCAGCTGCTGAACATTAGCATTTTCAGTCTGGGGTGGTTAAGAATAAAGCATCTGAATATTCATGTGCAAATCTTGGTGGGGACATGTTTGCTTTTCTCTGAGGTTAATGCCTAGGGAGGGAAATGGTTGTGTTTAGCTGTGTGTTTGTGGGGGTGGGGTGGAGGAGGGAGAGTGTGTGCCCAAGAACAACCTCAAGTGTCCTGAGGTGCTTTCCAAATCTCATTTTTTTTACAACCGAGTCTCTCTCACTAGCATGAAACTCACCTAGTAGTCTGTTCTGATTGACCAGTGAGTCCCAGGGAGCCACCTGTCTCCACTTCTCCAGGGTTTGAAGCATGTGCCATGCCTCCATGCCTGGTCCTCTATGTGGGTGTTGAGAATGCTGGTGCCCTCTTTACCAGCTGAGCCCCCAGCCCCCAGTGTTTAACTAGAAGCATCTGAAAGCAGTTCCTCAGAGTGGTTGTACCTTCTCCCGCCCTCATCAGAGCCCTGGCCAATGTGGACTGTCCCTCTCTCAGGTTTGGGCATTTTTTGTGGGTGTATAGAGGTGTCTTGTTAAGATTACAAATTACAGTTGAGAATCTTTGCATGTGCATATTGACTGAATACATTCTTTAGTGACATGTCCAACTCTTTAGCCCATTTTTAAAAGCCGTAATACAAAAGAATCATTAAAAGTGTGTTCTAAGCCAGGCGGTGGTGGTACACACCTTAAATCCCTGCACTCAGGAGACAGAGGTTCTCTGAATTCGAGACCAGCCTGGTCTCCAAAGGGAGTTTCAAGACAGCCAGGGCTGCACAGAGAAACCCTGTCTTGAAAACTAAACAAAACAAAAAGTATATTCTAGGTGTTTTAATGTAGTCTCAGTTTAGATTTTAATGTGTGTGAGTCTTATGTGTTTAACCTGCACAAAAATCCTTCAAGAGCAAAGGATGCTCCTTCTGGCCTCTCCCCACAGGTCTGCAGTAGTGCTCATAGTCACTTTCTAAGTGCAGAGTAAAATGCCCTCAAACAAAATGCCTGTAACCAGAACCATTTCCTGTTTCCGATGTGTTCAGATCTGGGGGTGCCTCCAGAGCACACTGCGAGGAGCATCCCTAGTCTGAGACTCTTATCTTTCAGTGCCCCCAAATGTCAGATCCTGGAGCCATTTATATTTGAGATGTGGGAATTAGGGAGTGCGCAACCTGTGCACATCAAATGGTATTGTAACAGAATAATTATAGCTGTTTAGAAAAACGACTAAATCCATTTTGAAATGCCATGTGAAGGTGTTAGGTTTGGAAGCTGGCCTTTCTTTGCCGTTTTGATAGACATGAAGTGCCCTTTTACCTCTGTAGAGAATGCTGTAATTATGTAGATAATCTTCTCTTTGTGCCCTGGTTCCTCTTGTGCTAGATCAAAGGTTCTGCTATTAAGATGAAGAATAAAATGTGTGTAGAAACCGTTCAGAGACAACTAGGAACATTTGCCTGGTTTCAGAATCTCACCTGGAGAACCAAACAGTGGACGCCCCCTCATTTAAAATTCTGTGGCAGGCACCTACCCCTACTCCATTTCCCTTCTGTCTCATTTGACTGGGATTGCTTGTTGGTTTTGTGGTGCTCGGGTTCGAACCCTTCCTATGCTCATTCACAGTGTTCTGGAAACATCCCCTCTGTACTCGGCCGCCCTTCCCTTCCTACTCCCCACCCCGTAGTCTTCCTTTTCCCCTAGACGGTTTGACTTTTATTTTCATGTCATGTGTACTCACGGATTTTGTGTACGACTGACTTAATTCACTTATCACGATTCTCTGTAGTTGCATCCATTTTCTCGCAAACGATGTAGCTTCATTCTTTTCTGTGGCTGGACATAATTCCATTGTGTATATAGACACATTGTGTGTATAGATTCCTTTGTCCAGTCTTTTGCTGCTAAGTGCCTAGGTTGGCTCTATCATTTAGCCATTGTGAATCGTGTTGTTCGTTCACTGATGTCGACTTTAGGATAAATACTCAGGCTTGATATTTTCAGTTTTGTAGACGAGAGCTCACTAAGTTGCCAGAGTTGGCCTTGAACTTGGGACTCTCCTGCAGCAGGCTCTTGAGTAGTTCAAACCAGAGGCCTATAGGACCAGCTTTGGCTTAATGTGGCAGCTCTGTTGTTGTTTGGCTGTCAGTTTAGCTCTAAGCCCCTGGGGGAAACTCCCTTTAGTTGACTCTGGAGACGAAAGAGGTCGGCATGTGCTGTTTGGAGAGGGTGAGCTTGCTTCGCCTCAGAATCCACTCACACCCAATTCCATGCTCACATCTGTTTCCAAGTCCAACGCTACAATAAAGCGAAGTTCACTGGGACTTCACAGATGCCCCAGGCCTACTAAGTAAATTTTGTGATTATAACTTACGTTTTTAGTCGTTTTACATTTTGCTGCCAAACCTTTGAGGTCAAATTTCAGCAGTCTCCCCTGAGGACAGCCATCTCTCACTCCCCAGCATACAGAAGGTGGTTCTCTTTGTCCTCATTGGGACTGAGCTGGCCACAGCTGGTCATAGCCACTTACCAGTGAGTGGAGAGCTGAGCCGTCCATGCGCTGTTCTATGAGAGGAAGCTACACTCTATCAGAAAGGACATCCTGTGATTCCCCTGGTTTACTACGGACGCTTTATTTAAATACTGGGCTGGTCTCCGTTTCCTCCCTCTGTGAAGCAGGAAGCCCTGAGTGATAGTTTCTCTTTCACTTTGAGTCTGCAACAAACAGCACACTCCCAGTCACTGCCGGACTCACAGAGAGAAAACAGTGTGGCTTTTACTTGTGCTAGTGATGATTTAACCTTCTACCATTACCAGTGAAGTAATTAATTCACTGGACAACATGGGAAACAATTAAACATATCAACATACAGTACCAGAACTGGGTCTATTGACCTACCTAGTTTGGTCTGTATACCTACACTTGAGTATAATACAAACACGATCTATGAAGATCTGAAACATGTTCACAGCAGAGACAGGCTGGTGTCACGTGTCTTCTCAGGCTCTGGAAGCCTCCACAACAGGATGTTATATGCTGGGTGCTTGAACCTTTATCCTCTTCCGCTGGTTGGTTAGATCTGCACGCAAGCCTTTGCGGTGCCACGCTCCTCCTTAGGCTCCAGGAAAGTCTTTCCTGTCCCTCCCAATTCTGGTGCCCCCATGTGTTCTGTGGTGTGCAGCTTCAACACCCAGCCTCTGCCTCTTGTTATCCTGCCTCCTTCATCTGTGTGTTGTTCTTGGCTGCCTTTTAAAGTATCAGTCATTAGACCCACCCTAACCCAGTATCTTCATCTTAACTGGTTCATTTGTAGAGACCCTATTTACACATAAAGTCACATGCTGAGGGTCCAGATACATGGGACCTTAGAAGAGGGACACTCTTCAACTCTGTGTGAGTGCAGAAGACTATATATATGCATTGGTTATGTAGTTATGTGCAGAAGACTATATATATGCATTGGTTATATAGTTATGTGCAGAAGACTATATATATGCATTGGTTATATAGTTATGTGCAGAAGACTATATATATGCATTGGTTATATAGTTATGTGCAGAAGACTGTATGTATGCATTAGTTATGTACTTATGTGTAGAAGACTATATGTGTGCATTGATTATGTGTGTGAACCCTTTTTAAAGTTCACACTTTAAAAAATGATACATATAGAGTGAAAATGATACATATATCCTACTATACATACACAAAATTATTTATTTTTTTGAGGCAAGGTCTCCTGTTGCTAGGTTCACTATGAACTGACAGTGTAGTCAAAGACATCATTGAACTCCTGAACATCCTCACTCTGCCTGCCAAATTCTGGGATTACAAACTTGCCCTACCCTGCCTGGCTACTGAGAGAAACTTAGAAAGATAAAGGTTATGACTGAGTGAGGAAATAATAGCTCTTTTTTCGTGTTGGAAATTAAACTTTCGATTTAGTATGTGGTTAGATGCCAAGCTAATCCCCAGCCTGAATAATGGATATTTAAATTTTTTAAATCTTACCTTTTCTGTATTTTCTGCTTTTTTATAGTTCAAAAACGTATAAAATTTTTAAGGTAAGAATCTTTTTTAAAATAAAAAGCACTTTGACATTTAAAAAGTCATTTGTCCTTTGCTTTAGTAAATAATTAATTATTTGAACTTATTTAATAACTTAATCTTAGTGAATATGTTCACATATAAACATGTGAATAAATCTATTGGTGTTTTAATGAAGTGGATATTTATCGCTCTTAACATTATATTGACTGTAACAGTGACTAAGGCTGAAATAATGTAAGATAATATAGTCATTGAAACCTTGCCACAACGTCTTTGACATCAAGTCTTTGGCTCGAATTTGAAAGTCAAAGTAAGGTTTGGTTTATTAGTTAATGGTTGAATTCAAAACGAATTTCCAGAACATGTTCTAAGATTTCTAAGCCAAATGAATCCTGGAAATCTAGAAACTAGCCATGGGGACCGGATGTGACTCCTTCCAGATTGTTATGTCTTATCAGTCCACATTGGCTCTAAAGTTGAGCAACAGTTAGCACACAGAGCCACACTCCAGACCTGAGTTTATCCTCACGCCGTTCTTAGGCAGGCCGGTCAGTAATTGATCCCAGGTCCTGAGGCTGCAGAGATGGCGCAGTGGCTAAGAGCACCTGCGTAAGGACCTAAGCTCGGATCCCCTGTACCCTTGTGAAAACACCGGATGCAGCTCTGATCCGTTCTTCCCCAAGCCAAGGGTCTTACCATGTGTCTGTTATTTTTGTACCTGATCCAGTTTGAAGGTGGCTAGCTCCTGCCCTCCCACGTGCTCAGTTTTAGCTCTCCTTTCTGAAAATGTTAGTGGTAATACACCCTTGCTAGGAATGTTGTAATTCTGGCCTATAACTAAAATAAGAGAGAGGAGAGGAAAGAAATACTGCAAGGTGTGTGTGTGTGTGTGTGTGTGTGTGTGTGTGTGTGTGCAGGCTTACGCGCTCACGCGCTCATGTGCACATGTGTATGTGTATGTTTTACTTGTTAAATAATGTGTAAATTTTGACCTGTAGCAAGCCTAAAGAGAGGAGAGGAAAGAAATACTGTGAATCTCTCCTTCCCTTCCTTCCTCTCTCTCCCAGCCTCTGGTGTGGGTGAATTGGTGTTTCTCTACATAATACTGGTGTAGAAAGAATATTAGTCTGTTCATTCTAGTAATGCTAAATGAGTTTGTTTTGAAAGAAAAAACTTTTCTGTAATACAAAATGGTATTTGATGTCCTAAGCAAGAGCACTAAGAGGCTGGGCTAAGATGTAATGTTAGTGGCAGAGGCCTAGTCTGGCATGTACGAGGCCTTTGGTTCGATTCCCAGAACTGCAGAATGAACAGGAAAATATGCTGTTGGTTTCCTCCTCTTCACAGTCAGTTTGACTAGAGTTAGAATTACCAAGGAATTCTAACTTACACTAGAATTCTTACACTTCTAGGTAAGTCATTGGGGCTGTTTCCAGAGTAGTTTATCTGAAGAGGGAAGACCCATCCTGACCAAATGTGGACAGAACCATCCCAGGGGCTGGAGTTCTAGGTCGAATTAAAAAGGGGGGTGGGGGGAACCAGCTGAGCACCTGCAGGTCTGCATGTCTGCCTCTTGGCTGCGGTGTCTTCACAGCAGACCGCGTTGAGGGAAGGATGCCGCGGTGGGTGAACTGGCACCCCCCCCCCCCCGGCTTCAGTGCTCATCCCCACAGCTCCAGCAGTTTGGCTGAAATCCCTTACTTTGGCTCGGCTACCTCAGTGACTAGAATTTCCATTTGCTGGCGTGTTCAGGAGAGATCTCTTTGTTCATATATGTAATATGGACTGTGGTCCCTGGGGTTGTGGAGTAGGTTTGATGTAGATTATCATGCAAGGATGTTCAACCTGCTTCCTGCTGGTGACACATGGCCCAGGACGGCTAGAATGTGGCCCAATGCAAAACTGCAGCCTTACTTAAATCTTGCTTGAAACATTATGGGATGTTTTGTCTAGTTCTCTATTTCTTTCGGTAACTCGATTGCACAGGTGTCAATCCTGAACTTTGTAGATGACAGGGGACTCGGAAGCCAAAGGGATGCTTTCTCTCTCCAGGTTGGAGCTGAAAAGTTAATAGTATTCTGTTTCCTGATTTGAAGTTTTCCTTTTTGATTGAGCCTACTTTGGGAAGAATTAAGAGAGGATGGGCACAGAAAAGACTTGGGATGAGAATCTGTTACCCAATTTGGACTTCAATTTGCTAGAATATCTTTAAATGTTAGCCTGCACTTTACCATCTCATTAATAGTCTCAGTTTTATTGATACTTCATTTTTATTTCCATTTCAAAATGTTCTCACGTGTTGAAGTCATTTCTACCACAATGAAGGTGTAGACATATGGGTAGGCACCGGTCTTTGGGACAGAGATACCAAGGCTAGATTTTTTTAAGGTTATGTTATTCTAAACACGTAGTCAAGATACCAATCTAAAGTCTTTTATTAGCTTTGAAAAAAAATGATAAGCAGTAATGTCCATTTTTACTAATCTACCACAAAAAGTAAGTTGAGAGCCTTGGCAACGAAATCCACGGTGCTAGAAATGTGAAATGTGGCAGTTCCGAAAATACTAGCGTGGCTTATGCGTTCCAGCTGCCAGGTGCTCCGGCCAGAAAGCGTTCCCAGCAATAAACTGAGAAATCTCACTCAAAGCTCCACTGTTCAGGCCTTTCTTCATGGAAACATATGTTTAAAAATCATTGGGGTTTAAGTCCAGAATGAGAAACTGGGTTTAGTGGCTGCCTGGGCTACAGAAGGAGTTCAAGGCTATCCTGAGGAATTTAGCTGAGCTGCAGTCCCCAAATAAAACGAGAAACCTGGGGATATAGGTCAGTGGTGTAGAACACTCTGCCTGCCATACCCCAGGCCCTGGGTTTGATCCCCTGTACAAAAATAAGGATTTGATACAATTCCACCACCGCCTTATTAGAGGCCGCAACTCTGTCTTCACTTCCAGTTCTTCCTGGAACTTTAAAGTGTGGCGGGAAGAGGGGGGCTGGCCTGCATTGAGAGCTAAGGTGTGTGGGGGGGAGGGGGGGTTGGGCTGGCTTGCTTTGAGAGCTAAGGTGTTCCCTGGGAGCTGGCTTTCATTGAGAGCTAAGGTGGGGGACTTCTGGTTTGCATTGAGAGCAGCCATCACCCCCACTCCACACAAGCTCTGCGGCTTGATAGTTGCGACCTCACAGAACTGTAACTTTTCCAGCATCGGCTTGAAAGCAGTTGTGTGGCACTGTCGGGAGGACAAGTGTGTGCTGATGATTCACTCTCAGTGGACAAGGGTGACTGCCGAGTACTGTCATGTAGTGTCTCATCCAGTTCCCATGCTTCTCCATCGTCTGCAGGCACAAGGTGACCAAGGTTGCCCAACCATTGGTGGGGGTTCTGGGTCTTTAAGCTGGTGCTTTTGGCTCCGAGGTCAGAGCCCTTCCAAATCTGCAGATTAGCAAGTGAACATTTCAGAGCTGGCGTGAAGAATACACATGTTTATCCATGTTTTTCTTTCCTTTTCTCTTCTTTTCTTTTCCTTTCCTTTTTTCCCCAAAAGACAAATTCCTTTCTTCCATTCAACCCTAATTCGTTCCCTGTAGACTGCCTCATAACACAGGGGTGTGTTAGA